ATAACAACTAAAATAACATAATTTTGAAAAAAAATTTTTGATAATGATACGAATTACAATTTTTTATTTCAACATTTTTTTTATTTCAACATTTTCTAATATTTTTTTTATTTCAACATTTTCTAATATTTTTTTTATTTCAACATTTTCTAATATATTTTTTTTATTTCAACATTTTCTAATGTTTTTTTTTATTTCAACATTTTCTAATATTTTTTTTTATTTCAACATTTTCTAATATTTTTTTTTATTTCAACATTTTCTAATATTTCTAATATTTTTATTAGATATTGCTCCCCGTCGAAATCTTATTCAAATTTTCAGCAATTTAATCATTTGACTTTTGTTGACATTCTTGATCTTGAAAACAGTAGATACAACAATGACTTTATTGAATTAAGGCTATTGGGTAAAGGTGGTTTCGCTAGTGTTTGGCAGGTTTGTTTTTTTTAGGACTCCGTTTATAATCTATTTATTTTACTGTAAATTTAATCTATATATAAATTTAGGCAAAGAATAAATTAGATGGCATAGAATATGCTATTAAAAAAATCAGTTTACGAGGTGATAATATACCAAAAGATAAAGAAAAAGTGTGTTATATATATATTTTTTTGTATTTGAAGATTTCAGAATTTCAGGATTTAGGATATATCTTTTATACTATATTTATTTAATTTATTTGATTTTAATTTAGATTTTTCGTGAAATTAAATTCCTTGCTAGATTGGAGCATACAAATGTTGTGCGTTATTACAGTTCTTGGTTGGAACACATTAACAATAGACAACGTACTGAATCTTCTCAAGTTCCTGTATCTTCGCAGTTAACTAATACCTTTGATTCTTTTGGTTCAAATGATTCAACTGATACTAATGATGTTGATTATAATGCTGATTCTGATGATGATTCGGATATTTTTAGAATGTCTTTTTCTGATGAGGATGAAATTAAATCTGAAAATTATAGTGGAATTGACTTTAAATATGATAATTCTAATAGTGATATATTACCTTCTACCTCTGCCACTGGTGTCAGAGGGCGTTCTTTAAATCTTGATAACTCTACAAGTGATCTTTCAAAATCTTATTCTCGATTTATTGAAAAAAACAATTCCGATTCTTCTGCTTTAGAAAGAGATTGGGTTCTTTTTATTCAAATGCAACTATGTCATAGTACTTTGAAAGATTATTTAAAACGTAGAGATGCTAATTTATTGGCCTCGAAAAATGATCCTTTGATTTCTGTTGATCGTCATGCTAGTATTGAATTGTTTCGTGGAATAGTTCGTGGTGTTGCTTATATTCATGAACAAGGTCTAATTCATAGAGATCTTAAACCCGGAAATATTTTCATTGGCATGATTCCTGATACGAATCACGATGATGATATTTGGGTTGCTACTGATAATACTTCTTTTAATGTTGAACGTTTAGTTCCAAAAATTGGTGATTTTGGTTTGGTTACTGCTGTGGGTGATGATAATACTGATTCTTCCATGAATAATTCTATCAAGTCTGATTTTTCTTGTGTTAAAAGTTTCAATTCTAATAATCGAACACTTAATCATCACAAATCAAATTCTTCTTTATGTTCAAAATCAAGAACCACTGGTGTTGGTACAGTTACGGTAAATTAAAATTTTCTGTTGTTGTCTGTTATATTGAGGTGTTTAATTTCCAATTACCAATGGCCAATTTCTTGTTTTTTTTTATAGTATGCTTCCCCCGAGCAACTTGCAAAACCTGCCATACCTTATAATGAAAAGGCTGACATATATTCGTTAGGCATAATTTTCTTTGAACTTCATTTCCCTTTTTCCACTGGGCATGAACGTGTTCAGGTTCTAAAAGATTTAAGACATGGAATATTACCGAATGGTTTTGTCCAACGATTTCCGAAAGAGGTTTGTAAAAACCTGGGTTGTAAAATTTGGATTATATAGAATTGTGTAGAATTGTATAGAATTGTATAGAATTAAAAAATTTTTTAATAATTATAGACTGCATTTATTTTGTGGATGATGGCGGAAGATCCAGATAAAAGACCAAATGCTAAACAAATATTGGATTTTGAATTATTATCTGTTCCCATTCATGTAAATATATATTATTATTCTAAATATAGTAGGTATGAAATAATGAATTTTGCTATTTAACGTTATATGTATATATAGGGCGAACATGCAGAATTACAACATAGACTGGTTGAAAACACACAAATAATAGATCTTATTACTAAAGAAAATGAAATGTTAAAGAAAAAAGTTGAAGAATTAGAAGGATTATTGAAGAATTGTGAATGTAAAAACAAAAAATTGTAATTCGTATCATTATCAAAAATTTTTTTTCAAAATTATGTTATTTTAGTTGTTATTTTAAGTGTTATTTTTAGTTGTCATTCTAGTTATTATTTATTATTTTAGTGTTGTTATTTTTAGTTGTCATTCTAGTTTGTTATTTTAGTGAGTTGAAAGGACATTTATTGATGTAGTTATACAGGTTATTACGAGTATTGCAATTATTTTTTTATTATCCGCTTTTTTTCAATTATTGTAAACTGAAAATTATTTAGATTAGTAAAATAGATGTTTATTTACAATACTTTATACATTATTTGCAATACGTTACAGCTTTCACGTCTTTCAAATGAGGGCTCAAGAGGGAAAATCTGTAAGTAAAATTTATCCCTGAAGGATTGCATTTATTCCCTGAAGGATTGTGATATTACGTAATTAATCACATATACGATTAATATGATTAGTGTTCTTAATAATACCAGATATCGATATTATTTGGTGATGGACATTTATATGCATCATGAGATTCCTCTGGCAATTTTACCTTTGACGCATATCGATATGTTTATATTTGTTATTGAAACATAAATCGAAATTAATTAAACTTTTTGTATTAGCGTTAGGCATTAAATTTCTAACAATCGATGCAAACATTTAATATTAGTCTTAAAAATTCCTGTTGTTTTTTTTTAAGATTGTATCTCTTTTCAACGAATAAGTGAAAATTCTCAAAAAGGGTAATTTTGTAGACCTTATATAACGATAAGACTATAAAGTTATGCTTTTTTTATTTTGGTGAATTTCCAAATGCTCATAATTTTTATGTCATAAGTTGTCATACTGTATGATACATAAATTAAGACTTTCACTTCTTTTATACATTAGCATTTTAATAAGTAAATAAATCATACATATATTAATTATATTATATGAAATATACTATATATATATATACATAAAATATATTATATATTTGAAAATATATATTAATATTTGAAATTTAAGCTTAATTAACTCGATTATAAGTATTTACGGAAATTCTATATTATAAAAATTTATCGATACGGTAAACTTTTGGTTCATCTATAGTATAACGTGTACTAATACACTCGATGATCACATTGAATATCACATTATAAATAAGGTTATAGA